ATGCACACGGAATTTCCAGGCTATCCTCCCCAGTACATGTCTCCAGAGTTTCAAAGACTTGCCATGAAGGGAAGGTATAACAAGGAACCCTCATGCTGGGAATGACCAGGACTTCTCAGGCCTCCCTCCCTATGGGAGCTAAGCATTCTCCAGATGCCCATTTTGTGCATAAGAAAATAGAGGCACTGAAGCTTACCTATTGTAAATTGTGCTGCTATAAACATAGGGGTGCAGGTGCTCTTTGGAATTGATGTGTCTGTGTCCTTTGGGTAAATACCTAGGAGTGGAATTGCTGGATCATATGGAAGCTCTATCTTTAGTAGGTTGAGGAATCTCCACACAGCTCTCCATAGTGGTTGGACCAGTTTGCACTCCCACCAGATGTGCAGGAGAGTTCCTTTTTCTGCACATCCTCGCCAACATTTGTTGTTGCTGGTTTTTTAAGTATGTGCCATTCTCACTGGTGTGAGATGGTATCTCATGGTAGTTTTGATTTGCATTTCCCTGATTACAAGTGATGTTGAACATTTTTTCATATGCCTGTCGGCCACTTGTATTTCCTCTTTGGAGAAGTTTCTTTTTAGCTCTTCTGCCCATTTTTTGACTGGATTATTTTCTTTGTTTTCATTGAGTCTCATCAGCAATTTGTAGATTTTTGTGATCAGTCCTTTATCATTAGTGTTGCCCTGAAATAGATGACTGGATCAAGAAGATGTGGTACATATACACCATGGAATATTACTCAGCATTCAAAAAAGATAAACACATGCCATTTGCAGCAACATGGATGGCGCTGGAAGGGATCATGCTCAGCGAAATAAGCCAGAAAGAAAAAGAAAAATACCGGATGGTCTCACTCATAACAGGAATCTAGAAAACCTAAATAAGGGACCAGGAAAAAGAATAACTATAAGAAAGAAAAAAATCAAAATCAACAAACAACTATGAACCAGAGACACACTATGGAGAGGGGCGGGGAAAGGTGGGATTGAGGTCTAAATAAGGGGGGGGTGCAATTGTATGAGGAATAAAAATAAAAAAAAAAAACCTTTAAATAATAAAATAAAATATTTCCTATACTTAAAAAAAAAAAAATAGAGGCACTGAGAGGGTACATAACTTGCCCAAGATGTGATTTGGCCCTCGCTTTCAGACACTACACTTTTCCCCGTGTGTGGTTAACACTGGGTGCAGGCCTACTAGCTGAGATCCTAAGATGGCACAAAACCAAAATACACAGTAGTTCCTGCAGCTTCTGTCCTTCCTACTGGATCTGTAGCTCCAGCTTGGGCACCCGGGACTTTTGACTTAAGGCTCCATGAAGAGCAGTGAGGATGGAACCCAGGCAGTGCTGAGGCACAGGGCAGAGTTCCGTGTTCAAAGCTGTTATTTTCATTGTTGTGTTGTTTATTCTTGTTGGAAAGTGTTGAGGCAGGAATGATGGCAGATCAGTCTAGTTAGTGGGTGGAAAAATGCTGAACTAGGGATGACTAGGGATGACTAGCAGTGAACAGAGAAGCAGAGCTTTTCTGGAAAGCGCCATGTGGCCTGTGTCCCAGGATGCTCTGGTTACAAGGTCTCTGTGGGATCATGAAAGCCATTATGGGCATCAGGGAACAAGGGTGAAACTATGCTCCCTGGAAAATGCATCTGCAGTGCCAGTGTGGCTGGACCCACCTGAGGACCGCAACCCCCGAAACCTGCACTGGACCACTCACTAGCTGGCCAATGCCACAAGTAAAGTGGCCTGTGTATTGGCTGATGGGAAGAGGCATGTCAGTGCTGCCCGGCCCATTTCTACATCACTGTCTTAATTAGGGAGGACTCAGCTCCTTCTGTTGGTACCTCGGCAGGGGTGCTGCCTTGCACCGGAACCCCCAAGTAAAAACAACCAGGAGGTCATAGGTGGGGATGTCTCACCCAGGCATCAGGGTCAGTCCCTGTGTGCAGAACAGTGCCCTCTGAGGCAAGTCAGACCTCAGAAGTGAATTCTCACCCCAGAAATGCCTTTGACTTTCCAGGCCCCACTTTCCTTCCTGGAGAATTGTAGGCATGACAGAAATGCGTCTAAAGCCACAGACTTTCTGTTTTGCTTTGTGTATTTGTTTGTTTTTTCTTTTCTGTCTCCCTGGATTTGCCTGGGAACATTTTAAATGAACCTTTCAATAAGAGCTCCTGGTTGACACAAAGGTGCGGCGGCCCAACCTTTGTCAGTGTTTACAGGGAAGCCCTCCCAGGCTCACCTATAATTAGAAGTCAATTAAATTAGAAACCCTTAGTGTTGTTCTTGGAAGACCTCCAGCCCCACAACTCTCCTTGGGGGAGCCTCTGACCCAGTCTGACAGTTCAGTGGATATCCATCCTCTGCGCCCCAGCTTCCTGCCGCCAAGGTCTGCCTGGTCTCACAGGAGCTGGTTCCTAAGCTCCCTTTCTGGTCCTGTTTGCACCTTGCCCTTCCCATCTGGCAGGCAGCAGAATGCCGCCCCCACCTCCCCACCCTGCTTGCCCCAGCTTGCTCCATTGCTAGAAGGAAAACACCCAGGAGTTCACCGCTCGGGTGGCTGGCTGCTTTCATCTTGCCTTAGTCCATTTAGTGTTGTTTAAACATAAATGTGGTCCTGAATTGCAAGCAGTGTTAGAAAGAGGAAAAGGCAGCTCTCTTCAAGAGATTCTGGAAACCTGACCATCCCCCAAGGCCACCTGATGTGACTCACTGGGTAAGAGCCCCTCCAGGGTAACGGCACCAACAGGGGAAAGACCTGGAAGGATCCAGGTCCTGGAGCCCTCTCTCTTCCCCCAGTGTCTCTAATATGTGCTTTTCCCATAAGAGCACCCCCAGACATCCCTCCCCCAGCTGCAAGCAATCACATACAAGCTTCTTCTCAAAGCCAAATGTCTTTATTACCTTTTCCTGATCACGAAATTCATGTGTAATATTCTAAAACATTCAGATGACTTGCTCCCCATAATCCTCCCTCACTGCCTCGTCACCCCTACCCTCTTTCACTTCCTGACAAAAGAATCTTTATTGAAATTTTAGTAGCTATCACTTGAGATCTGTTTCTCTGCATATAGCAGTTCCCCTGACATATTATTGGGGAATACGTCAGGACCCACAGTGGATCCCTGTGGATAGTACCACACCCTTTATATACTATGATTTTTTCCGATATGCACAAAACTATGTTAAATTTTAATCTATAATAATAAAATAGAACAATGATAACAATATATTATAATAAAAGGTATGTGGATGTGGTCTCCTATCAAAGTATCTTATTGCATCTAGTATCTCCAGGCCACGGTTGGCCATGCATAGGAAACAAAACCACAGGAACAGAAACTGCAGATGAGGGCTAGAGGGGGCTTCTGGACAGAAACCTTTACCAACACAAACCTGAGCCCTCTTTTGCAGAGCCCCTGCACGGTGTTCCACAGGACTGATGTTCCATTGGATTATTTTGTTCCTTGTAACCATAAACAGGCACATAGCTTAAGGCTTTGCCTAGACTGTCCCCAGCCTGTCCTTGTGGGACACGTGGGTGCGGCCACTCCCTGGCAGGCAAGCAGAAGAGGAAAGGCAGTGTACTTGAAGCTCTGTTGTCGCTCGGTGGCCTCTTACTGTACATTTATGTTTGGGGGGCTTCTCCTAAAAAAGCTTCTCCCCAGAAATCTCCCTGAGCTACATCCTGGAGGCGTTAGGAAACACTCATATGGATACTCAAGGATTTTCCTTCTCTGCACTCCCCAGGTCCACTCCCCTCCCTGGCTCTGATTTTCCCACTCTTAGTCCTTTCCAACTCTTAATTTACATGGTATCCTTCCTTCTGACATTTATCTTATTTATTTTCAATAAATAATCTTTTTCTCGCTAATGCTTTCAGGATATTATGTGGTAATGATAAAGCTCAGGACTTTTCTCCCCAAAAAAGCCCCAGATTCCCCATCCATTGGTCTCCCCCTTTGGGCCCTCCACAGCTTGCATTCATGGTGTCAGGAATTATTGGTTTTCATGCCCTACAATTCTCACCCAGAACAAGAGGACTCAGAAAGTGCAAGGTCTCAGGGGGCTTTCTGAGACACTCTTGACTTCTAGACTGAGTCTGTAGCTGAGTCTGGAAATTTCCTCACATAACCCAGTCATTCAAAGAAAATGGGCTGTTTTGTCACAAATTCATCCCCAGCATCAAAGCAAGAAAACTGGCCAAGAAGGTGGTGATTAGCGAATTTAGATGATCACACGAGTGCACCATTTGTATAACCAGTGTCCCCGGCAAGATTGCTTTGAGCTGGAAACACAGCTCTCCCCATTCTGAAAATGGAAAAGCAGAAAATCACACTTCTTTCTTGAGAGTAGTGTGCTAACTTAGTAATTGGTGAAAAGCAGCTGGGCTGTAGCCATCTTCTGTCGTTAAGTAGCTGTGTGACCTTTGGGCAAGTCACTGAACTCTCAGGGCTGCGGTTGTCTCAGCCATAAAATTAAGTAGCTGGACTCATGCATTCTCTAATCACTTTGATGCAGAATGACCCTCCTTAACAGAGAGGGAATGCCCACACAGCAGGCTGGGAGGCTAGATGTATGGTGGGAGGGGGGCGGGCAAGATTCTGGTTGCTGGCACTGTCTCCGGGAATCCCCTTGATTCAGAGGAGCAGGATTATCTGGAGCCCCAGGTTCTCCAAGCTGTCTGGCCATCATCCCTGACTCTAACAGCAGGTCCTCCGTGGGCTTCAGCCCCTCCTCTGAGCCCCTGCCCAGGGACAGGTGGGGAAGTCAGTGCAAGTAGCCCATGGTTCAACTTACAACCTGCCCTATCTTTTCAGGTGCACTGACCCCTGCTCTGATTTCTTGGGGTAAGAAGGAGGGGGATTTTGGGGAGAGGGGCATCATCACACCAGGACAGAATGCAGACCACCGACCTGAGGGAACTGGGCTGTGCTCAGTCAGACCTGGTGGCCTCAAGCCCCTGGCATCACTGGTGTTGACGAAGCGTGTCTTTCAGGAACACCGGAGTGAGAGGATGGCTTACGTGGGAGATTGCAAGCAGACGCCCTGGCTCCCCATGCTTGTGGTAAGTGGGGTAGAACCTGAGCCCATGCTGTTCTAGCCCCAAAAGCTTGGCCCAGACTGTGTTCGGCAGTTACACGGCTTTGGGCAGCTCCCTTGGCTTCGTAAACCTCAGTTTCCACAGCTGTGAGGTGGGAATAGTGGTCCTAGCACCTCCCATACCAGTTCATCTGAGGGTGCAATAATGGCGACAAAGCACTGAACAGCACCCCAGCTTCACGCTAGACTTCTCTGGGTTGTAATTCCCTTGGCCAGGTCTCGTGGATAGAAATGTCCTCACATGCTTATTTGAGTGCGAAATCCACAACCCAACACCTGCATGACAAGTATAGTGGGTCTGTCAGCTGAGAAAGACCCAGGATTCCCTCCCTAGGACCCCCAAGGTGAAGAGCACCTGGAGTTACTAAGAGACTGAGGGAGACCTCCTGTGCCGGGGTCTCAGGGAGGGGCCATGTCACGGTGAAAAGCAGAGTTTTCATGAGTGAAGAGCAGGATCAGGCCTCAAAGAAGGGATAGAAGGAGCAGGGCGAGGCCAGCTTCTGGGAAGCGGGGTGCCCACCCAGCATATTAACTGACATTCGGCATTGAGCAGGACCCCCAGCACCAAGCTCCCCTAGTAGCCTTGGGGCACTGATCCCAAGGCAGAGTGTGTGCCTGCGAGGACGCATGGAGGCGGAAGCCAAAGCGACTACTCTCTGCGGCAGGTGTCCCTGATGTGCTCAGCCAGAGCGGAATACTCCAGCTGCGGCGAGAATGAGTACTACAACCAGACCACCGGGCTGTGCCACGAGTGTCCCCCGTGCGGGCCGGGCGAGGAGCCCTACCTGGTAAGGCCCTACCTGGTAAGGCCCTGTGGCCCTTCCAGCCACAGCACCAACCTGGTGACGGCCCCTGCTCCGTGGGGACCCTCACCCAGGGAGCTGCTCTCCTGTGGCAGGGCTAGGTCAGCAGGCTGTGTGTACACATCAGGATTGGGTAGCTGGAACAGATATTAGCACAGGAACTGTGCTTACCTTGTGAGAGAGATGGCAGCATTTCTCAGGAATTGTTTTGCATCTATTGAAATGACAATTATAGGCATACCTCAGAGGTGTTGTAGGTTTGGTTCCAGACTAGCACAATAAAGTGAGTATCACCATAGGGAATTGTGTTAAGTTTTGGTTTCCCAGGACATATGAAAGTTACATTGTAATCTATTAAGTGTGCAATAGCATTATATTATCTAAAAAAAAAAAAAAAAGCAATGTTAAGTAAGTGTGACACAGAGATGCAAAGTGAGGAAAATGGCACCAATGTACTTGCTGTTCACAGGATCACCACAAACCTTGCAATAAAGCAAGGGGTGCCTATACTTTCCTATTCTACTTTAATTAAGTTTCAGGCCGTCTGAATTGAAAATGAGTCAGCAGCACAGTTATTCCTGAGTGTTGAATCTCCCTTCTCCTTTGGGAAAAGCTAAGCAAATACTTGTGTTAAGTGCTAAGAAAAATGTGCATGGTTTCTGTGCCTGGGACGCATATAGAGAGCAAAGAAAAGTCAGATACCATGGGCTGCATCACAACAGACATCCCTGTAGCTGATTGAGTTTGTTCAGGGGCTCTCAGGAGAAGAGCAGCATCTGAACCCCAGAGCACTGGGAAAGGGTGTCACTCAGAGCTGGAGATGGGGGGAGAGTTTGTTGGGCTAGGTCAGGAAGCAAATGTCCAGCAAGGGAATCTTCTAGGAATAGCTGTGTGCCTGGAGTTCCAGTACATTCAGCACAACCACTGTGCCCAGTGCACCTGGTGTGCCTGTGTGACCATTATACCCAATACAAGGTACACCCAAGGTATACCCAAGGGCCCCGGGTCTGACCATGGCAGGATGCACTGAACTTACCCATGTCCTCTGTCCTCTTCCTCTGCCAGTCCTGTGGCTATGGCACAAAAGATGAGGACTACGGCTGCGTGCCCTGCCCAGCAGAGAAGTTCTCCAAAGGAGGCTACCAGATATGCAGGCGCCACAAAGACTGTGAAGGCTTCTTCCGGGCCACGGTGCTGACGCCGGGAGACATGGAGAATGACGCTGAGTGTGGACCTTGTCTCCCTGGGTAAGCAAGAGGCACTGGGCCAGGCCTGGTTTCTGCAGGAAGCTCTGATGCACACTAGGGAAGACCCTGCCAGCGTGAACCTGAAGTTTTGTCACTCACTCCTGCCAACCGTCCTGTTTTACTAGGGGCAGCTCAACCAGGAGGGCATATGTCTGGAATCAGGAAGCCTGGTTTCTAGAATGGCAAACCCCACTGTCTTACACAGGACTTGAAGTCCACCAGGCTCTGCTTCGCAGTCCCTAGAGAGATAATGTCTGTACTATACAAATCAAACAGATTTGTCAAGTATTTACAAAGAGATGGAATATGCTTTGGGGAAAAAAACCCTAAAATCTCATAGTAAAGTGTTTTTGGTGTTCTAGAAAAAAACTGGGAATAACAGCTAATAATAGGAATATTTGAGTCACATTGGTGGCATTGATGCCGACAATTACACCACAATTCTGTTATGTATCAAAGTCTTTCCCAAAAAAGCAAGGTGAAAATGTAATTAGCCTAAAATACAGAAAGATAAAATCTTCCTTCCAGGCAAGACGTCAGCAGTTCTGCCTGGAACAAGCATAACTTTGACACCTAGTAAACAGCAAGCCGCAGCTGTTGCTGCTGCCTCCCTCTAGTGGCCACAAGACATGGTGCTCGCAAGGGTTATGGATAAAAACCCAAAGCAGTGGTGAGGACTGGAGAAACAGAGGCAGTGGCGGGGAGGTAGTGATGGTGGAGGTGGTCCTGGTAAACAGCAGTCTTTTAAATAGTGTACTGCACTTTACAGTCTGCTTGTATACATATTATTTCCCTGGGTCGCTGTATCAAATTAGGCAGAGGAAAATAAGGATATATCCTGATGAGAACATTAGGCTTTAGTCTATAAGAAGAAGGAAGTACAAAAAGTAATGAACACACACCAATTTAGGAATAGATTAAAAACTCATAACTCTTTAACACCAGGAGATATTTCAAACATGCAGGAAAACTTCCATTAAGATTTGTTACTGAATAGCATCCATTTCCGTTGCTTCCACCACCTTTAGATCTAGTCTGCTGTTTTCTGTCTTCAGTTCAGACCTAACACCTAAGCTATAGACCTGCATATCCAAGTATGTGCTGGATGACACAGGCCAATAGCCCTGGTGTGCTGCGTGACTCAAACAGTTTTCAAGTGAAAAAAAAAAAAAAAAGGCAGGGAAGCTTATCATAGAACCTTATTTTTCAATATGTAAAAAAGTAGGTAGCTCTGTAGAAAAGATTAGACTCTTCTAGAAAATGTGACACAACATAGTTCTGTCAGTGAGCACTTTTTAATGTTGTTGCGGTTATGTTATGGCAGCTCCATCAAAAGAAACATGCTGCAAGCAGCAGAATTGATGTTTTCCAACCTAATGACACAACATCCATTGAAGGCCTGCTCTGACATGGAGCTTGGTTCTGGGTGAGAGGGTTTCAATAGGATCCTGGCTTTCTAGAGGGTTAGCATCAGCCTACTAATGTACTTGCTTCCTAGAACTTCTTCTTGATTGGTTTTTATTGGTACTGATACATGATTCATAAGGAAATGTAGTGTCATGGATTACCTCTACATAAACCAAGGAAGAGCCTACACACCTTGCCATACCCACTTTGGGGGGAAAAATAACCCCCTGTAAAACCTTATTTTGAGAGGATTTCAATGTAAGAATCTTTCCTGAAATCCACACCTAGCATAAGAATTCCCACACTTTAATAAACCTTTGAATTAAGATCCTTTCAAGTAAGTGCCAGTAAGACAAAGAAGAAAGTCTCTGCTTTCAGTGGAACCATGAGACGAGGAAACCAGAGTGCAGAGAGTGAGGTGGCACACATGGAGTCCTAGAAGTTGAGGAAGGACCCCTCACTCCGTGGTAAGGGAAATGGATTGGGATGTCTCAGGAGACTGAGATGGATAGGAATTGGTCAGATCAAGAAGTAGGCCAGTTCTCCAAGGGGAGGTGCTCAAGCCAGAGCACCAATTGTGAGCCACCCAGCAGAAACTGGTGCCGGGGTCCCTGTGGCTAAGCAGAAGGTACATCAGAGATACAACAGAGCTAGCAAAGGCACCAAAGTGAGAAGGAAAAGAGCTCTGGAAAATAGCACTGAAGACTCGAGTCTTTAGCTTGCACTGCTCTAGGTCACGATTCAGACTTCTAAGCAGGTGTCAGACTGAGCAGGGCTGTACCCTAGAACCATCCTCCCGACAGAAAAGAAGGAAACAGGAACCCGGGACCAAAGATGAGGACTATGAGGACTAGGGCAAGGTGGAAGTTTAGACAGTTGGAGAGAAAGGATATGTCTGAGAACCTGTTGGAAGCTAGCAGTAGGGGCAGACTGAGTGCATGTCAGGTGTGGCAAAGGGAATTTCGAAGAGGACTCTCGGATGTCTGCCTTGGCCATCTGTGTGCACGATGGTGCCATTTGCTAAGACATGGAATACAGGAGGAAAAGGAATTTCTGAGGAGGAGGTGGGGGGAGAAGGAGATGTGTGTGGAATTTCAGGTGTGGTGACATCCAGAAGGAGATATCTAGCACACAAATAAATAAACAGGCATGAAGCTCAGGGTCAAGATACAGGCTGAAGAGCAGGATCCAAAAGTCATCTCCGGGAGCCACTGCCAGATGGACTCCTGCGCCAAGGCATCTCACTGGGGAAGAGAGGCGGGTGCAAAGGGAGCCTTAGCGGTTATTGCTAGTCTTCCCCCAGGGACTCACAGTGTCTATGAGACTCAGCAGCAATTTTGTTGTGATGCTATCAAGAGGCAGTGAGCGCTGTTTCTATCATTCTTAGACCCACAAAGGTTTCTTAACCAGAATGGACAAGCCCTGGGACCAGAGCAATAAACAGCCCTGTTGCAGGTGCCGGCCTGCTCGCCAGAAACACTGATTCTGTGGCAATGCAGACTATTTGCTTGGTCCCAAATCTGTTACCAGAAGGAAGTGTGACAATGAAACATTAGTGATCCTCCTGCCTCCAAAAGGCTTCAAAAAACAAGGGGCTTCTGTGGACATGGTGGGGCCAGCCTGTGTCTCTGGCAGGGTGGAGTCCTTCCAGCTCTGAAATCTTGATTGGCTTCCTCCCAGCTCCATGACAGCAGCGAGCTGCTTCTCCGGCACCGTATCTTACACACCAGATCGAGGCCAGGTTGGAGCCCTGAGGGAGTAAAGAATGTTGTGCTGGAGACACAGCTCACTCACATCCCTACGTCCTGACATTCCTCTGTGGATGTGAAAAAGTATAGTTTGGCTCTGCAATGTGGTATAACTGTTCAAATAAATCACTCCCAACCTCAAAGAACATCAAAATAGAACCCCCGCCCCCACCCCCACATCTCCAGCCCCCACCCTCCTGGTGCTGACTCGGATGAACTCAGACTTCATGGGGTGGCCCCCAGCCCTCAGCTTCCTATTACATACCCTGGGCTTAAAGGACAAAATGAAGCACTTATGCCCTGTTACAGAGGAGGATTACAAGGAGTTCTGGCAGGCTGGCGCTGTTCGCGCAATGAAAGACTGTTTTCATTCCCGAGTACATGTGGCTCCCAGGCTGCGGATGCAGACCGCCTCAGATTTGTCTTCCTAATGCCACAGGTCCCCTCTGTGGTTTGGCAGCAAACTTCTCATTCTTCACAGCCTCTACTGCGTATCAGAACGTGGCCGGGACACTGAACAATGAATGAGTGGCACGGGGGCTTTCCTGTTGAGCAAGGGCTGTGTGGGAGGACAGGGACAAAGGCACAAGGAGAGGAGGAAAGAGGAAGCTCGATTTTATAACCTCCCCCCGAGCATCATCTTACCCATGAGAGGCGCCCGCTGGCTAGAGTCCACACCACATCCATCTCTTTCAAATGCCGGATTGAGAGCCACTGGGGGCAGGGTGGAGGGCATAGTAGCTGGGCCTCTGCACCCGCTTTGGAACGGGGGAGAGAGCCGTCCGATGGCTCAGATCATCTACCACACGCTCAGGAGATCTTCAGGGGGAAAAAAAATCTATATTCCTATTGACTTGAAAGAATCCAATCTCGATATAGAAGATTCTGGAGGTCCATTTAAACCGAATCTTATCAGTTTACTGGGCTAGTCACTTTAACCAATCTTGAAAAATGGCAAGGGTAAAGGGAAGAGGTGAAGTGAGAAGTATCAGGCAAAAATCGAAATACAGATCAAAGAGTAGGAAACGAGACCCTTATGGAAAGACAAGGGGCCCAGCAGCCTTTAGCAGCCACAAATCCCTAAACAAACACGTAGCTTCCCACTGCGAAATCCATCCAGTGGGAGCAGCTAAAGGATTGTTCTCCACTGCTCTGTGCTGGGAGGACAGAGGGGGCTTTGAGGTACTAAGGTACACCACGCAGAGTTGAAGCTAGTCCTAAAGAGGACGAGGGTCTGTGAAATGCTGTGCCAGGGACCCCAGAGGTGTTTAGCACTCATCCAAGTTAGGGGGTCCCGAAAAAGCCTCACGGAGATTTTAACCTTGTCTCTTCACTAAGTTTTTAAGTTACTGAGTTCACTACGTATGTCATACATCTTGGTTCGGGCGCATCCTTGGGCAGGAGGCTCAGTGGCAGTTGCTGGGGCCCCCTATGGGGATAAGAGACACCCTCAGAGCAAGGACAGTCAGTGTGACTGTAGCAGTGCCTGGAAAAGGCAGCAGACAAGCCCCAGATGGAGTGGGTTCCCCAGGTGTGTGCCCCCAGAAGTGCCAGGGACACCTCCTAAGCCAAAGCGCTTTCTGCCCGCCACCCCAGGTGGCCACTGATCATCAAATACAGAGGTCAGCACCCAGGGATTAAACAGGGTAGGCTAAACTGTGGTTGTAGTTTTAGAAAAGGAAGAAAAGATGCACAAAATGCCCTCGGGGCTTCTCTTCATTCTCAGCACTTTAAATCTCTGGGAAGAAGAACTTGGTGTCATTCATTCATTTTTCCATCCAGCATTTACCGAGTGCCTTCCCCCTCAGCACCCAGCACATGCACTGGGAATACAAGCCTGCTGGTAGACTCCCTGTCTGGAGAGAAGGACAGGAATGTGCTGGCTGTGGAGGGGAATAAAAGGGTGAAGTATCTGGGTGTTAGGAAGCTGCAGGCCTGACCTGGGTGACCTGGAGTCTGTCACCCTTAGGAGGCCTCCTCATGCTCCTCCTGAGGACAGGCCCACCCTAGACCCTGGGGTCACTTCCTGCTGTAGGCATAGATGGCCTCTGTAGGGGGCAGAGGTGTGTTTGAATGAGGCTTTTTCCAGAACTGGCTATTATGCCTTCTCAGTGGGGTGTTTTTCGTTTGGTTAATTAGTGTTTATCAGATGCACAGAGATTTGAGGATAAAAGACATCAAGGAAGGGCAAGCAGTTACAATCATAACGTCACAGGGATGGTCCTGCTTGGGGAGAGTAGAATCCAGGGACAACTCCCACCCCCCACCTCAGCCAGAGCTGCCCCCCAGCACTGCTGTCTGGGGAGACTGGGGATGCATGGCTGGGAAAAGAGATTAACAGCAACCAGAGAAAAACCCAGTAGTGCAGAGGGGTCTTTCAAGTCTTGAATTGTAATAAGAGAAACAGTACTAGCTCACTTTATTGAATCACTTCTCACATGGGCTAAATGGCTCCGTGATCACCCCGGAATGCTCCTGGAAAATGGCCCAGCGCCTGGACCCTCAGCCTGCAGGAGGGAGGGAGCTGAGCTAGGAGGCCCTGGGAGGCCCCCTCCCTTGTAGTGGCCTGCGGAGACCTCTGACCCAAGGGTAGAGGGTGGCCTGGGAGCTGACACATTGACCTCTGGCAGCTCAAAGGACACCATAGAACATTGCTTGGGCAAAGAGTTTGTCTTTCTTGAATGGTTAGTCCTTTTCAGTGCAGCTCCAGTGCTCATATAGGTAGGTGTCTTCAGGCAGCTCTTCTTGAGGAGGAAACAACAGTTCTGACCACACTGTGTCTCAGGCTGTCACTAGGGTCCTCAGAAATGACCTCTGGGAACACTGACTTGGTCCACAGCAGCTACGTGCTGCCTGCCACCTCCGTTCAGTCTCATCCAGCAGGACTCCGGGGGCTCAGAGGTGCCAGTGTGAGGTGCTCAGGGTTACCAGTTAATAATGCCACTTGGCTGCAGGCTGAGGCAGGCACCACTGAGGAGACGCCCCTTCCACAGGGTCTTCTCCCTGGTTAGTGAGGTTTGTGAGGTTCCCAGAGAGCCATGCCGGTGCACAGGTGGTGGGTGTGCAGGTGTTTCTGGTGGCAGATGCTGATGAAGACTGATGACGCGCACACAACACATCCATCAGCGAAAGGAACCAAAAGGGGAAGGAGGTGGAAAGAAAGCCCAAACTGGCGCAGTGTTGGGAACTAGAATGTGTCAATCTAAGGCATGTTGGGAACACCCAGGGAAACAAACACATGCGCTAAGAAGGGCTGCCTGCTCCGGGAGGTTCCTGATTTTCATTGTGCATGTCTCATGTGCCTGCTCGGATCATTGTGCCCATGCCCAGTAATGTTGCTTCTATTATGTCTGGCTCACCTGTCTGCTTTGTTTGTCTCTCCCTCTCTGTAGCTACTATATGCTGGAGAACAGACCCAGAAACATCTATGGCATGGTCTGCTATTCCTGCCTGCTGGCGCCTCCTAACACCAAGGAATGTAAGTGCCCCTCAGCCTTCCGTCAGAACAGACTGGGTCACCACTGACAGCTCTTGTTACATGGTGCTGTGCACAGACGTCAAGCCTGGCACCCAGACACATGAGCCACAGTGAGACCAAATAGAAATGCTCCTGTGGCCAGGCCCATGAGGAGGCAGGCCTGTAAGGGAAGGTTTGCTAGTCAGTCAGGCCGACAGCCCCCTTGAACAGGTCACACGACCTCTCTGGGCCTCAGTTTCCCTATCTGTAATGTGGTGGACCTGTGCATCTGAGGCCACTCATTGGAAAGACCAAAGAGTTCACAGAGGCGAAGGTAGAACAAATGCAAAGTACTACAAGGCACTAGGCAGTTGTAAGTTCTCATTCATCTTTTCTATAGCCAGATGAGGCCCAAGGAAATATGATGGTCAAGTTCAGAATCCTACTTGGGGCACTTCCACTCCTACTCTCATTTTGGTTTGATTCTCATGGGCATCTCTCTGTTGGGAAGGGCCAGAAACCTTTACTCCATAGAATGTATGTGTGGTCTCTTGCCTTGTCTTAGATACCATGGAAGGGAGCAGGGGTGCAGATGGGCAGCTGGAGGAGGCTGGGGTCTGGCTTGCATGCAGGGTACTTGCCTCACTCACTCTCCCTCCAGTGCCACTTCCATTCCAGCCGTCCACAGTTCAGGACCCCACACTAGGACCCTGCCCTCCTGACTCCGCCCACCCCATTTTCCCTCAGTCTTTCAAGGAGAATAGAATAAGGACCTATGCCATAGAGCGAAAGGTAGAAGGGAAAGAGAGCAAGAAGAGGGAGTCCCCCCGTCCTGGAGGTCAGCTGGAGTTGGTGCTGGAAGGTGGGCAGGGCTGCCAGGAAGGGCCACACCTTCCTTTTTAAATTGCTTAAGTCAAGGAGCCAGGCAAAAATAGACTAGCATGTCTTTAAAGCTGAGCTTTCCTGCCTAATTAATTAACTTCTTATTCTAATTGATTCACTAATTAGAGGCACCCCAATGCTGGGGCTGCCAGCAGGTCCTGGTGAAGTCACAGCCATTACCAGGGAATCTAAACCTACTTAATGCCTGGTAGTTCTGGGTTGGAGTCCTCATACAGGAAGAGGTCACTTACTTCCTTTAGAAAAGGAATCTGAAATCTGAATAACAAGCAGCTCTTTTCTGTGGACACCTTTTGTTTGAAATCTCAGACACTCAGGGTCCTTCTAGATGTGGGGGCTTCACTTACTCCTAGCAGTCAGAAGAGCTGGCGTCGGGGGTGAGAGCCTCTCTCCCTTCTCTTCTGACAATGAGAAAGGGAGGAAATAACTGGGAGAGAAACGAAGTCCCTGAGTCCTGGAGATTTTGAAAATGAGTAAATCTGAGGCCTCTGTGGTGGTGCAAGGGGTTGAGCACAGCTCTATGAAGCTATCCGCAGCCTCTGCAGCATGAATTTGATCCCCGGCCAGTCAGGGAGCAACCCACATGGCACAGCAGACCTTTCCCGCCTCGCCCACTGCTCCCCTCAGCAGTGTATTTCAGTCAGTCTGCCTGTTCTGCTCCCTACTGTCTCTGGTGAATCTTCTCAGCCCCCCACACCTCTGGCCTATACCCCAGTTCTTGTATGCATAAATAAATAAATCTTTTTTAAAAAGAAAAAAGAGAGAAAATTAGTAAATCTCTCTCTCTAACCCCCAGATCTTAATCGCTAAATTGAAAATGAGCACCCAGGGAAGCCTCATAGTGAGTTTGTAGAATCCAGTCCTGAAGGAGGTGATAAAAGAAACAGAAGCCAAGTCAGGGAGCCTCCAGTCCTGGCTGTGTCCCAATGAGCTGTGTGGCTTGGGGTGCTGTGGTGAGTGAAATTCTGACTAGATCAGGATCTCAAGCATGGAGAGGAATTTTATCCTCTCCACCTAAGGGTTCGACCTCCCTCTGAACCGATTCTCAGTCCACAAATCTGGAGTCAGCAGAGAGAGCTAGAAAGCTTGGCTATGACTACAGCTTCCATGAAGATGCCAAGACTGAAATCCACAGGGCTATCATCAGTAGCTGCACCCCAGGACAGTCAGGAACTTGGTTGAACCTCATTCATAGGAGCCCGGAGTCTCCAGCTGGTTGCCAGACCCTGCGGATCTCAGTTTCTGAGTCCGCAGGAGATGGTGAGAGCACCTATTCCTCTGAGCTGAGAAGCTGGCTTCGGTGTTGAAGTGATTTGCCAACGCTCCCACACCAAGCAGCTAAACCGCCCCCATACCTGAGTGGATGTACAGTGGATTATATTAGCGCACAGTCTCAGAGGACTTGGCACAGACCCCAGGACGACTGTGACACTGACGCCCACATACAGGGCTGGAGAGGCCTGGGCGACAGTCGACCGAGGGGAAAATGTTTGTCCCGGACTGATCAGTACCCTGAGTGTCTCAGCAGGGTGGGTGGTGAGGAGGTGCTGCTCGCTGCTCAAAAGCCAAAACAGGGGCTATGTGAACCAACATGTTCTATTTCGATGTTATCTTGACTCGTGGCCATCTGGGGCTCAGGCAGTGTCACTCATCAAGGGCAGGGCTAGTGATTCACTACAGAAGTTCTCAATCTTGGTCTCAACTGCTTTTGCCTAGTTTTGTCTTCAGGAACAGAGCAAGGACAAGGAATTTATAGTTACCAGACCCAGAGACAACTTCCTCCTCTGTTTTTATGCTGCTCCTCATTCTTCAGGGGCAATGGACCAACGTCCATCTTTTGGAACTTCTTGCTGAGTAGGGAGGCCTGGTGCTCCACAAAGGAGCGGAATCTTTCCCTTGCTACCTGAGATTTGACCGTCACAGGATCTTGATCCCAATTGTTCATACCCTTGAATTACAATTATTTGGAATATTTAATGTCCCCAGCCTATGTTGCATCTGGAAAAGCAAGTCTCAGAAAAAAATTTAACTAAGATTTTTCTTTCTTGTACTTTTAGCGTATGAGACCAATTTGACTACTTGGCCTCAGTTACAATGGAATCAGAGGTCAAGCTCGCCTCTCTGGGCAGTGTAATTGCACTTCCAAACTTAGAAACCTGGCACTTCTCTGTGCAGCTCTCTAAAGTGTAGGGTGATGATTCTCATTAGGGTCCCCAAGGGCTCAGGACGCCCCCAGGCTGGGCCTTCGCCCCAACCTATAAGGTCCAGGTGGGGCAGACAACATGTTTCTAACAAGATCCCAGGGTGACAGGACCATATTTGATGGGCCCCTGCTCTGGAGACTCACTCCTGCATTTACGTTTCTGTTTAACTTGGACAGATTTTCTGACCTCCTTGCTTTCCTGACATGGGGAGGCTGCTGTTAGCAGGAGCAGTGACACCATAGTGAGTGGCCATGTACTGTTTATGTCCACGTGGCCCATTCAAAGACCCCTCAGAAGAATGGAAAAGCTCCACATGGTTTTGCTTCAAGTGGAATCGATCATTCCAGTTTCTTGGACCAGCAACTGGCATGAGTCTTCACTGGAGGGCTGCTGTTGGTGGCGATGGTCCTGCCTTTGAGTCGACCATCATCTCTAATGAAAAGGGGCATGTTCTGGAACTCAGAGCTGATGCTCAGGGAATGGAAAATACCCTGTGACACATAAAACTTTCTTCACTTTGTTTTTTCTCTCCTGTATAATTGAGAAAGTAATAGCCTCTCAGTATACAAAGATGGCTGACACATACACGCACAACATATTTTCAACATTGAAAGTGCACAGCAAGGTGAATGGCAATGCTCCCCTGAACTGCTGGTACACGGCAGGGAGGACTCCCAGGAAATTTGAATGAAGCCAACCCCTCTCTCCCACTGGGACTTGTCCATCAGAAAAACTTCAGGATGCACTGGTCTCCCCATGCTTTACCACCTCCAATCCATCTGTGTCCTGGCAAATTAACATTAGATGGAAGTGAGAGCAAAGGCCTTAGTTATTTTTCAGTGAAATCAAAGAGAAAGATCCACTTAGTGCAAACTAAGCTTTCTGGTTTTCTTTTCTTCCTGCTCCATCCTAATAACTCACCCCTGAGGATGACCTTGCAAAGGAGTCTGTGTTGTGATGATACTGGACAACTTGGTGTAGCAAAAGAGAAAGGGATAGTATTGGACTTGGATTTTATTACAAGTTTCCACTGTTGGGAAAGTTATTTAACTTTGTACCTCAGTTTCCCATCCATAAAATGGGTCTCATTAGACTGTGGTGAGGAGATGATATGTCCAATCTCAAGGACATGCCCACTCCAGGGCTGCACGTGGCACTTGGTGAGGCCTGAGATGCCAGTGCAGCTTGGCCCTCGGCCTCCCATCCTGCACAGTGGCTGCCCATACCCCTGTTAGTGCATATGGCACTCGAACTAGCCAGGAGCCCTCCCTCACAGAGGACCAAGGTAGCACTGAGTCAGTGCTGGGCCTTGCCCCTGCGAGTCACTACATCATCATCGTTTTATTACCACTTGTCAGTGATCACGTCCCCCGGGTGAGGGCTTGCCTGTCTGGAGAATGCAGCCTGTTTGTAGGACTGCTGTGTTGTCATTGCTCCCCATCGCGACAGAACTCAAATGTGAAGTTTGGGCCTCTCCAAACATCAGTTTGAAAATTGTTTCCAAATACAGTGTTTATCAAATGTGAATGTACATCCCATCACTAGGGGTTTGTTAAGAAACAGACTCTGATATAGCAGAACTGGGGTGGAGTCAAGACTTGGTGTCAGTGAGCTCCCAGGGCCCCTGGCCAGCAGCAGGGTGCTAGCTAGGTCCCAGCTGCCTGTTCTTGCAGGCTGCACCACTAGGGGGTGCTGGGTCAAAGCAACAGCCCAGGAGCATCCTCATTGACAACCGCGAGGCTCTATAAACAAATCAATCTTAAAAATCCAAATTCGTTGGCCCATGTAGAGAATCCACAGCTCTAATATTCACACAATATGAATTATGCAGAATAACAGACCTCAAAGACCCCAGCAAATCCTGTCATCACACTGAATAGAGAACAGATCTGAGCCTCACCTCCCTGTACCTGCCAGGGGAGGCAGTGCCGCCTCCAACTCAGAAGGGAGGAAAACCAAACCATGTCCCACTTTCTCTCCTTTTAATATAAACCTTTTGTGGAAATTTCTGCCTATTTTCAGGATTTGAATTATCTCCAACATCCTGACCCCTTGCCTTATTGAAAGCTGGGCTCCAAATGGAAGTGTTATGGAAGGGGAAGTGGGACTGTAGTTGACCACCCAACAGAAACAACAGTGAGAAACATCATCTAGAGAGCCATTCCAAGGATGTTAAAGGAACCAGAAGTACCCAGCACTGCTGGAAAAGAGGGAAACCTCCCAGATACCTTAGTGATTTTACTAGTGCTGAATTCATCTGCTTTAGATCCAGAGCAGAGCCTGGAAATCATGCCACCAGGGCCCTGGGGGTTCTGGCACACTGTCCCAAGGCACCTGCCCCAGACCTGAACTTGCACTTCCTGCCCACTTCACCCCCACCCTTCTCAGCCTCAGATGCTCAGCACCGACTTTTTTCTGATGAGCTCAGGGATCAGGAAGCACTAGACAGCATCCTGCCAGTGCCTGGAACCTGGGACTGTTGACTTGACCCTGACTAGAGTTCAGCTGAGGCAAATGTCTGGTGAATCAGAGCAGAATGCGGCCCGACATGCCACAGGAACAAGGGCAGGCAGGTGCCCGCTGCGCATCCCCTTTGCGCACAACGGACTTGCAGTGACCTGCATGCATTGTGACTAGCCCAGCTGCCAGGTGCAGGCAATTCACTATCCTCTTTAAACCATAGGCCAAGGCATACTTATGTCCCCAATCTCAACCCCTGTCACCCAGCCTCAGTGGGCCATTCCTGGCAGGAAGGGGTAAGAAGAGACAAAGATGACAAACATCCACCAGTAGAGCGACAGGTCTTTTTATTCTGAGACACAGTTTAAGCTCCTTGAGCCCCTCATCAAACACCCAGCTTTACTTCTTTTTCAGTATCCTATTTGCTTGTCAAAGGAAGTCAAGTTATCCTTGCAAGCCACAAGGAATTTGATACGCAGGATGCAAATGGTTCTAGAAATCTGAAGGCCACCTTCTCTGCAGCCAGTTTCCCAGGAGACTCATAGTGGCCCGTGAGAAGGGAAGGTGGGGATCAGGCTCTGCTGCTGACCACACATCCCTGCCACACCCCTGACAGGCCATTGGTTCCAAGACCAGGTGAGAAGGCTGAATCAAAAAGCAGACATATAGCATAAGTTTCAGAATGGGCTTGAGGGAAAACTTCCATTTATCCTTCAGAATGAAAAGAACCCTCTCCTTAAGCTCTGGACACAGAGGTAGGAGGAGGCCTTGCGTACTGGAAGAATTGCCGATGTAGGGAGGTCTGAGAGAAAAAAAAGAACATTCAGTGCCCCCAGTGACAGTGCAACCACCTACCGAGGCCCATGTGCCCAGAAAAGAGGTCCCAGGGACTGGGGCTGAGTCTGTTCTGAGCAGACCCCCTGTTGGTTCCCACCTATTCAAAGGGCAGCTGTGCTGGGAGCACAGGAGCAGCAAACCTCCCGAGAGGAGATGCCTCTGGTTCTCTCTGACTTAGCAAGTGGGGAGTTTTTAGTGACATGGAAGATGGTTCCAGGCGTGGGATGGAGGGCAGCTGGATGGCACCCGCTGACAGCCCTCACCCAGCCAATAAGTCTCCTTGAGTGCCCAGGGCTTGCACCTTCCTACAGTAATTAAGAAGTGTCTGCCTTCATACTCCCCAGGTTTGTTGCTTAAAGAGCTCTCATCTTTTTCCTTCAGCTGGCAAATGATGTCTCTAATGCACCAGGACAGGCTGACCTGCCAACCTGCATGACAAGCATAAGGACGGCAGGAGCCAGTCTGGGCCTGTTGCTGTCACTTCCCATGCCTCACTTGTAATTTTCTATTTTTTTTTTTTTTTTTTTTTTTAAGATGTGAGGATAGGGAGTGTCTGACCTACTCTTCTGCAGTCTTCTCTCCTTTTGGGACAGAGACGAGTGGCTGGCAGTGGAACCTTCCTTGCCCTGGGTCTCCTGGGTCGCCCACAGCGTACCACTCACAAAGCAGGCATATGTTTCTGCTGAGAACCTCCCCTTGAGAAAATGTCCCTCGCAGTGCGTTGGCAAGAGCCCAGCCTCATGCGGGTCCTGACGCCCGCCCAGAGCCCTGGCCCATTGGGCAGAGCAGGGCTGGCTCAGCCGTCCTCCATGGGGCGAACCCACCTCGTGAACTACTTCAGAAATGACTGAGACAAGAGAAGGCAGAAGGAAACTTGTGAAATGACCATTTTTATTAATTGCCAACTGATGTCTGTTCTAACCGTGAGCTGACCATCAGGGCATCACCTTTTCTGTGGGAAAAGTTTCGTGTGTTTGTTTTAAAAATTCTTTAGTGACTTGACAGACCATAAAATCAGCTAAACGAACTCTCCATGCAAAAAAGGAGTTTATGAATCATGGTTGCGAGGGAAGGCAAAGTTCATCACTGTTCTTAAAAAGTTTGGTCACAACTGTTTAAAAAAAATGAATCATATGAAAAATCCTAGAGGAAAATACACCAAGATGTCTACTTTAGACAGTGAGGCTAATTCTTTCACTTATTTCTTGTGTTTCGGGTTTTTACAGATATTTAATAATGACACATATTACTTTAATAACTAGAAAAAGTATTAAAAATACATTCCTGTTCTGTATAGTTGAAGGAACTGCTCAACTAATATTTCCCCAATAATGCTTTCGTTATACACATACTCTTCTCATTTTTATAGATTGCATTTCCTGTCTCAGCTCATGAGAAAATTAAGTTAGTGAAAATTGCAAAGCTCCCTGTTTAGTTTCAGCAGAGTTATCTGCCATGTGTGTCTTTTCAGCTTAAGAACAGTGACCCTGGGAGATCACAATGCTCTTCTGTGATCATTAAAGTTTCCAAGAAAGGAGAAAATTCCCTTCCAGCCCACTCATAATCCAGGATGGACTGGCTGGCTGCTTGTGGCTCATCCCCACAGCAAGGCTTCCTCAGGTGTTTGCAGGGGACGTGACTATGTACTCCTTGCAGGTGTGGGAGCCACATCTGGAGTCTCCGCCAACTTCGCTGGCACATCTGGAAGCAGCACCCTTTCTCCTTCCCAGCATGCCCACAAAGGTAAGGAGGGTTCAGGCACCACCTCCCACCTACCTGGAAATGAGGGAGGCTAAATAAAAGGAAGAGAAAGAAGGAAAGAAGTCTAGACTTCAGGAAAGCCTCAGCTCTCCCTGCCTCACATCAAGTCCCTACTGTGATATACTAACACCAACGAACCCCAGTTGCTAGAAGTCAGGAGTTACCTCTGCAAGGAATAGAGCTGATGGCTTGGGCATCCTGAGCCATTTAGAAGCTTTGGTAATAAAGGCAGGTTCCTGAGAACCTCCCCTTAGAGAAAATGTCCCTTGTCTCCTGAGGCCTCGCAGTGCATTGGCTCCAGGAGTCCTGCTAGGAGAGGGAATTGCAAGGGGAAGGTGATGGAACCATGCCCTGGAACTGACAGTGACGGCTGCTGGCTTTCAGACAAACCTGCTGCCCTCCACTCTTTCATGCTCATTTCCAGTACCTTAATTTTATTCCCTATCCCCTGATGGATGAAAACAATTGAAAACCTTGGGGACCTATCTCTCCCAGAGCAAGACCTGGTGGCTGGCTCCTCCTCCTGTTGAGGACCCCTACACCCAAGGGTCCTTGGTGTCTCTTGAGAAAAGAATTTCACGAAGCACCGGAATGAAGCCAGCAACCAAGTTTACTAGGAAGCCACAGGACAGGGCCCTGCAGGAGCAGTGAGCAGTTTCAGAAACTGGGGGAGCCATCCTGAGCAGTAAAGCAGGAGGGATTTTAAGGGTTTTTTCCTATTTGCGGGGAGAGGTTCCTCTTAATTATTCATACCTTTCTCCCATTACCCCTCTCAACTCCAGACTAATTGGGTCTCCCCATCTCTCCGTCTTTTCAAGTGGGTGCAAACTGTAGTTAAAAGACTCTTCCTGGGCCTCCCAGACCTGCCAGATCTTCTCTGGTCCTGGAAACAGAGTGGCAGCCCTGCTAGGCTGTGGGATTACAGAAATGCAGCTGTGTGAAATGCCCTGACACTTATTCTGGTCTCTGAAACAACCAAATAGGATTCTGGGTCTTACATAGTGAGACGCAGGTTACCTACCACCCAAATTGGGAAGAGACAAACATCTAGAGAGCCCTAGGACCACCATGGGGAGTGTGTGGCCCAATGTTGACAAGAGGCACCCAGGCTGACAATCCAAGGCCGTGGGTTTGGCAGCTGCTACTCTTTAGGTGGGTGTGTCTGTAAGAAAACTGGCTTCAGGCTGTCATTTGGGGATATCTATAACATTTTTGAGAGGTCAAGTATGATATAAGTGTTTTAATATTCTCTAAGTTCTATGTTACCTCCCCCAGGTCCTAGTGAAAATGAGAATCTATCCTGGTAATTTTGTCCTACATTGATGCTCTGTGTGAATGGTTAGAAGGATCAGGTTTGGGGGGTTATGCTGAGGGTACTGTGGGGATTTTAAAGAACCCCAAGCCTTACTGAGACCTGGTCTCAAATCTGCCTAAATAATGGAAGGTTAGGGATAAGGTTGAGGTCAAAGGCCAAAATAATCTCCAGAGTCAACTCCAAGAACAACCCCCGGAAGAATATGCTGTCCACTGCTTTCTTCCTGCAATTCCCAGAAAAACTCTATGGCCAGGGGTGACAGGAGAGAGGACTAGGTCATCACCTATGTACCACCTTTTTCACTATCATCACTATTTCACAATTATTACTATAGTTGCATGTGGCACTAGATAGAATCAAACCAACAATACAATCTCTGACCCTCAGAGCTGACTTTCACATCCTGACTTGTGCTCGGATTAGATTGGATTGGATTGTCTTCAGGACACGTTTGCTCAAGGGCCTCTCTCCCTCTCCACATCCCACCTTGCCCAGGATTCCCAAAGCAGCAGAACCAAAAGCCAGCACCCCAGCAACACTCAAGGGAACCCAAACCACACCTGAGCATGCCTCAGTTGTGACAGAAAGAGAAGCTCCTGGGAGGGCCTGATGTGATAACCAAGGCAAACTTGCAGGGCTGTCTTCTCAGACCTAGAAAGTGCTTGGGCCCCTCTGCATTCCTGTAAGCATCACAGCGGCAGAGCCATTGCTCACAGGGGTCATGGTCTGGAAAAAGGGAGGTCTTGACCAATAGGTCCCCAGGGGATGTGAGCCCTTGGTCACTGCCTTCTCTTCCCACTCCAGCAGAGCTCTCAGGCCAAGGACACCTGGCCACAGCCCTGATCATTGCCATGTCCACCATCTTCATCATGGCCATCGCCATTGTCCTCATCATCATGTTCTATATCGTGAAGACAAAGCCTTCTGCCCCAGGTGACTGCTCCCACGCCCCTGCGCCTGCCCACATGCCTCCCTCTTGACAGCTCCATCAGCCTGCCCAGGTGTGAGCCTAGTTACTCACACCCTTCTTTCTCCACACAGCCTGCTGCACCAGCCACCCAGTAAAGAGTGTAGAAGCCCAAGTGAACAAGGACGAGGAGAAGAAAGAGGCCCAAGGTTTGCAAACAGTCTCTGGAATGCATGTCCATCTCCGGGGTGGAGGGTCTGCCCCTGTCACTGCTGCCACTGTAGGCCAACTGCCACTGAGCCGGGGCCGGTGGGAGAGGTGTTGATGCACCCGCCTTGCACTTACTCCTTAGGGTATGGGGTTTAGTCACTAGGCGGTTCTGCTACAAAGGAAGTAAGCAGGTACTTTAACTCCTCCTTCCCCCCTCTCCTCATATACTTACAGACAATGTGGTGATTTACTCTGAAAAGGATGAATTTGAGAAGCTGACAGCAGCTCCAGCAAAGACTGCCAAGAGGTAAGTCATGTCTAGGCAGCCACCTGCAACCTGGAAGCTACAGCAGCTTCCAGCTCCAGGCTGAGGCCAAGGGCCCTCGTGGGTACCAGAACAGGGAAAGGAGCTGGCTGTGCCAGCCACGAGTGGACTGAGAAACCTGGCTCCTGGCCTGGAGGCTTGTTAGGGGTGCTGGACAGAGCTGGGTCCCAGAGGTAGCACTGGTCAGTGCAGGTCTCAGCCCCACCACTGACCTGCAGGAGCCTAGTGCCTGCCTGATGCCTGGGCCCAGGCTTCCTCTTTTCCTGGGACCTCTTTTCCTGCACTGACTTCCACATGCAGACCCCAAAGCTTCCAAATGCCCCCTTCTCCTGTAGCCTGCTTATACTACTGCTGCTGCCCACACTAGCGGTGACATCATAGTGCTAAAGCCACAGCTGGCAGCCCTACACTGCTGTAATAGTGGTGATAACAATGGCTTAGTCTGTGAATGTCTCACCAGGCCCTGTGAGCAAGGTGCTAGTCTTATCCCTGTTGTAGTTGTCACTGCCTGAAGTCACACACCCATGAGTGGCTGACTCCACAGTTTCTTCCACATGTGATTTATCATGCACATGGAGAAATGTACACTCTTTATTCATCTCCGTGGGTGGTCATTTGAACCTTCTCCTGCTTAGGTTCCAAAAATCCGCCCCAGAATATCAGTTCCCCATGGCCTCCACCCCGAAGACATGCCAGGACCCCATTCACCTTGCAGATGGGGAAACAAAGGCTACAAGACGTCACCTAACTGGTGATAGCAAGAACAGAGGTTAAGCCTCCTCTTCTGGTCCCAGGCCCATGATCTTTGCAGGGTGTGTGGGTGCTTGCAAAGCCTTGCATTTGTAGGAATTACCATAAACCCAGATGTTTGTGTAGAGTTTTGGCATTTATAAAGCACTGCCGAACATGTTGTTTCATTTGCAAAACTCCAGTCTCTCTCAACACTCCTGACACAGCGCAGGAAACAAACTTAAATCATAAAAGTCCTTGCATACTGGGAAAAAACCGCTGAGTGTATATGCTCGCCCTGGTAAGGTCTTCGGGAGCTGGGATTTCCTGTAAGTGCCTCCATTCCCATTGATCGTTTGTCAAAATCCTGGAAATCTGTGGTCTGAGCTACTCTGTGCACATCTGGCCAAGCCATGCCAGGTGTGAGCCCCTGCTCAGGACAGAGTCCAGCTCCTGCCTGCTCTTCTGTGAGTGTCCTGGCAAATGATTGCTCCTCTGACCCACAGTCAGATTAATCCCCACTGTGTCAGCCTCCCCCTTTCTGTTCCTCCAGTGTTTTCCAGTTAATAGGGGGCAGGGGGTAGTTCTCAATAGGACAGGGATTATTCTGTGATTTCAGTTTCATCTAAAGACTGAGAGAAAATTGGAAGACCCTACTTGGAAAAAATAATACTTGTTTCATATACAAATGTGAAGAATTAAAACCTGACAATTGTGGTGTAGAAGCCAACAAAGAGCTGAGCTCTCATCCCCTGCTCTCAGGTCTCAAGGAAAGGACCTGGGGCTGCCCCATGTCTTGGGGGACAGTGGCGCTCCCGGGTGGGGGCACTAGTTTCCCCTGAGGCCCTGAAGGAACGTAGCCCCCTTGTTGGTTTCCTTTATGGTCTGGCCTCTGGGACTGCATTCATGTGGACTTCATCGCTCAAAATAGTTACTAACAAATATTGTTAAAAAATAAAATGTCTTCAGCCAAGCCGCAGGACGTAAGCAGGACACTTATGGAAAGGAACACTGCTTTTCAGTGTTTGAGACTTTGGGTTTGAGAGTTCACACTCCCACACGCCCCCACGAGCAGCGAGGGAAGGCGGCTGCCAACCCTCCCGTGGGACCTCCCCTGCCCCTGCCCCCGCCCCGCCCCCTCCACCCCACCCCCAACCCCCGGGAGCACACATTTTAGTCAGGCCGCCTCAGAAGCAACAGGGGACACACACACACACACCCCACCCGACATAAGGCTCCATTCAGCTTTGTTTTCGGTTATCCCAGAGAACTTGCTTGAATTCCGTGCCAGCCGCATAGACTGGTTTGCTAAATGAAGACACAGGCTGCAATTGGTGCTTATCCGAAGGGACTGCAGGAAGCTGCAACCCATTCAAGAAACCTTCCCTGAGGGGGCGGCAGGAGACACAGCTGTGCCCCCCACTGGCCAGCAGCCCAGGCGCCCATTCACAGGCAGGAACCCCTGAATCTTCTCAGTGGGGTCCTGGAGGCTTCCCGCGGGGCGGTGACTTGTTAGGGGGAGCCCCGACTGCTCAAGAGGTCGAGGACCGGTCCTGACATCCTGACCACTGCACGGAGGGGAAGCTGGGGGCAGCACGTTCCCGGCGCCTGTCACCTTATTCCTGCTCTTGTTGCCACAGCGAGAATGACGCCTCCTCTGAGAACGAGCAGCTGCTGAGCCGGAGCATGGACAGCGACGAAGAGCCGGCCCCGGACAAGCAGGGCTCCCCGGAGCTGTGCCTGCTGTCCCTAGTCCACCTGGCGCGGGAGAAGTCGGCCGCCACCAAGTCCGCAGGGGTGAGGCTCTGCGCGGCGGGGCGCACGCGGGGGCCCGCTGGTGGGGAGACCCTGCGCGCACTGCAGGAGAGCCGGACGCCCACACCTGCAGCGCGCTCCAAACCCTCCCACAGGCTTAGCGAACCATCTCTGCTGGGAGACAGGGAACCTGCAGGGAGTCACAATTTAAAAGAAGACATTAAAAATATAGAAAACATTTCTCATTGTCTGTCGCTTCAAAGAAGAAAATCAAAATAAGAGGGAAAAGTTTAAATTGGTTGGCATTTAAATGCCATAGAACAAAAGTTTTATAAACATACTTTATAAACACATATCCAACCAAATGTGTATATATATATATATTTGCATTCATATATATGCACATTTGCATGTGTGTATATATGTGTAGCATTTTTTTCAAGTAAAAATTATCCATGTGGTTTGTCATGTAATGCAGGAATGTGGGCGAAAAAGAGGGAAGCCTTGCCCCAGGCTACCTGAGAATTTAGGCCCCCTACCCCCTTCACCCCCTCACCCCTGCCCTGCAAGAGTCAGGGCAGCTGTGGTACTAGACAACATCACTTAACGTCAACATGTTCTTGAATGGGAGGCTGGGCTTGGCCTGGCTCCTGATGGGGACTTCATGTTCTCGGCTGTCCAGTTCAGTGACCTCTGCAGCAGGACCCTGGAGCAGCAGAGAGGTGTTGGTTGCCGTAGGGTGGCTTCTGCACCTGTCCCTCATGGGCCCATCTCCTGGCACAGCTCTGGGGAGCAGAGCTCATACATAGCTCTGTGGGTGCTATACACATGGCTACAAGTGTCCCAGGCCACCTGCCTTGCTTGTGAACGGGGGTCCCGGCATTCATTCTGCCAAACAGACTGATGCCAGGTATTATACCTGGTCACTGCCATCAACACTGTCTTGAGTTCGAGTGTCCAGGGAGCCTAAGAAGCCTGCAATGTGCGTGGAAGGCACTTGCCTGGAGAACCCAGGGAGAAAGCATCCTTCCTGTGAATTACAGATGTGCTCTTCATATCAGGACTTGGTTAGAAAGCAGGGAGAGCTGCCAAAACTAGAGAACTTGGTTCTTTTTCTGAAAATTAACATGCTCTTCACTTTTTTCACAGATTCAGAGTCGAAGGAAAAAGATACTGGATGTGTATGCCAATGTGTGCGGAGTTGTCGAAGGTAAACATGAAAGAACTGTTGGGGGGTGCGCTTACCAAAGGTTTTCCCAAGACCCTTCTCCGACGGTCAACAGGAGGCCCTAATAAGCGTCCTTGGAGGGACTTACCTTTTTCCTGAACTGAATGGCCAGTTGTTCTGATCTCAGGTGTGGAGGGACTTACATGCTGATCCTTGTCCTGGGGGGGGGGAAGCACACATGTCCCCAGCACTCCACCTGTCCTTCCTCGAGCAGGACAAGGGGCCCACATCCAGCCCCAGCACAGCATCTCATAGGGGTTCCTGGAGTCAGGATCACCTAGTGCTCTAGAAAATAGGAGACCTATGGGTCTCCTGCAGGGGCCCCAGATGCCATCTCTGCCTTGACATGATCATCTCCTAAATCTTTGCTAAGCAGTCACTTATCCAATAATCAGCAGTCCTTCCACTGCCGCGGCCATTCACGATATTAACAGGCGTGGGCTCCCTCCCTCCTTCTGCAAAGATGCTTTCTGAGCAATTAGGCTGTTTCCCTGTGATGTCACGACAGTTTGGGTGTGGGCAGGGAGAGGCAGCAGTGCCAGGAATATCAACATTTTCATCTGAAACCAGAGTCCACACTTCCAATTTCTTTCAAGTCCTAAAATGACCTATTTATTCACCCAGGAGACAAAAGCCCTTATCACCGAGACTAGGGAACATTCCCTGACTCTCCGGACCACTCAGTCTGGTCTCCTTGGCCAGGGCAGCAGGAGTGAAACCACCCCCATCCCTGTGCGCAGCACACTGAGTTGGGGGCAAGCCTGCTGATTGGGTGCCCCCACACCCTCCACTGCCTCTGCAGCCTGGAGTGAGGTAGCATCTCTTCATATACCCAGGGCCAATGCACCTATAGAGCCTTTTGTGGCAGGGCCATTGGCCATCCAGTGGGGCATGGTCTGAGATTTTCGTTCCATCATGTTGAATGCTCTTCTCTGTTCCAAAGGGTGTTTTGATTTTAAGAGTCCATAGCTGGGTTTTCAAATTAACCTTAGGAATCCAGCAGGAAATAGGAGCTCCTTGGGGAGATCAATGTAGATTTACATTCTCATTCACGTATAAGAGACAATACAGAAAGGTCCTTTCTACCCTTCACCCAGCTTCTCCCATTGGAAAGATCTTGCCAAACCATTCCTGAAAGCCATCACCAAGACACTGATACAGCTCATCTGTACACACCCAAGGCCCCCTCAATTGCCCTTTCAAAGCCACACTCACTTTCCACCCACCAACCCTCTCTTTAGCCTCCAGCAACACTAATCAGTCCTTCATTTTTGTAATTCTGTCATTTCAAGAATGTTGCATAAGTGGATTCATGCACTATGTGACCTCTTGCAAATTGCTTTTTTTACTCAGCATAATTTACTGGAGATTCATGCAGATTGTTGCATGTATCAGAATTTGCTCCTTTTTAATCCTAAATTGCAGTACGTGTTCTGGAGGTACCACCATCTGTTGATTATTCATCCATTTAAGAACATACTGGTCGTTTCTATTTTGGGGCTATAGTGACTAAAGCTGTTATCCATGTATACATTTTTATGCCAACTTAAGTCACTGTTTCTGTGGAAAAATGTCCAAGTACAATTGTCAGTTGTATGGTGGTTGCATATTTAATGTTTGTAAAAGCTGCCATATTGTTTTCTAAAGTGGTTGTACCATTTACATTCCACCAACTCTGATCCAGTTTCTCCACATCCTCATCAGTATTTGGTGATGTTATTATTTATTATTTCAGACATTCTGATTGATGTGTTTTGATATCTCATTGTGGCTTCAATTTGCATTTCCCAAACATCTAATAGATATTCCCTTGTACGTAACTATTCTTTCCCTGGATGTTTTTAGTATAATTTCCTTTTCATTAGATTTACCAGTTTGATTACAATATGTTTTCAGGTATGTCTCTTTGGTATTATTTTGTTTGTGACTCTGAGCTTCTTGGATCAGGATATTTGGATTCTTTCCCAGATTAGGGAGATTCTCAACTATTATTTCTTTTTTTTTTTTTTTAAAGATTTATTTATTTATTTATACAAGCACTGGGTACAGTCAGAAGCACGGGAGGGTGAGAGAATTCACCAGAGCCAGAGCGGGGAGCAGAACAGGCAGAAGGACCGAAGTACACTGCTGAGGGGAGCAGCGGGCGGCAGGAGAGGTCTGCGCGCCATGCGGGACCCTCCTCTGGTGGCCAGGGAGCAGATGGGGATCGAACCGGTGCTGCAGAGGCTGCGGGCAGCTTTGCAACCCAGCGCTCAACCGCTGCGCCACCGGGGAGGCCCACTATTATTTCTTTAAATAAAATTTCAATGGTTTTCCTTCTCATACCTCCTTCTAGGATCCCCATGATATAGATATGGTTTCTACCCCAAGTTGTCCTGAAGAGTTCTTACACTATTTTCATTCTTCTTGTTTCTTTTTCTCTTTGCTGGTATTTGTGTCTTTTCCACCACCATGCATTCAGCCTTGCTGAGTCTATCAGCAACTTGTATTTACCTGATATTGAAGCTTCTATTTTATTTTTCAATTTGGTTGTGGTGGGCATTAGTTCTATTAATTCAGTTTGAAATATTGTCATGCTTTCTCTATCCTTGTATTCCTGATTTTGTTCATCCATTGTTTTTCTTTTGTCAACAAGCATAGTTATTATTGTTACCTTGACCTCCTCTTCAAGTTACACAGTTCTGCTGGACTGAGACTTCTCTCAGGGTTTTTAGGTTCCATAATTTGTAGTATGTTCCTCTGATTCTTCATTTTTGGTTTTTATGGGTTGAGATAAGGAGCTTTCTTTCCTTGTTCTGGCCAGCCTTATACTATACTTACAGGTCGCAGGATATAATGCGAAGCCCTTTACCAGGAGTCTGTGTGAGTGTATTGATTCATGGACTGCTGCTGCTGTGCCTGTTTAAACTCCCAGAGCTCTGGTTCTGTAAACGGGTAGAAGGTAGGACAGAGGGGAAGCAGGGTATTAGGAGATTTCTGCTAGTGATTACCTAAAGTTCAAGCTTTCTAAAATACTGCAGCTGCCTGGATTGGAGGTGTGTATATGGAAGGAGCGTATTGGTGGGAGATCTATAATGACCCCTCACATAGGTCAGTTCCTCAGTCAAATCATCTCAAATAATCTAGAGCTAGTATCAACTTCTTCACTGTGGCTTAGCTCTGGCTTGAGGGTTCTGGGAATAGCAGTTTCGTTTTACTTTTACCCAGGTGTGCAACAGCAGCAGGTTAAACTGGGAGTTGCTAATGCCCAGTGTGGATAGGCTACTGTCCCAATTCTGATTCAGATGAGAGAGGAGTGTGTGTTCGTCGAGGGTTACATGTGCCTTCCACAAAGTCTGCCTCCCCAGCATACCGCTCTCAGTAGTTGTGGCACCAGGATGGGCTGTGATTGGGATTAGACCTTTAGGACAGATAGTTGCACTTGGATGTTTGCACCTGTTTCCAGGTGTATTAAACTCTGTATTAAACATTGGCCCTGTGTGGGAGTGAGGCAGGTGTATTGTATAACATCTGCCAGCCACAAAGGAGATGTCCCTTTGTATGGAGTTATAGGTGAGCCAACTCACCTTTCCCACCAATTCAGATTCTAGCTATTCACATCTGGAGTGCCTTGTTATCTTGTCGATGTCTGCAGGCTCTGTCATGATAGTCTCTGCTTCGTTCCAATTCTCATTATTTACGTACTTTATTTTCCCTTGTCTGTCTTTAGATTTGTCCATTTTATTAATATTTTCAAAGAACTGATTCTGTTTATCTTTACCGCTATTGTTTTTCTCTTTTCAATGTCATTAATTATTGATTGTTTTTATCTTTATTATATCCTTCTATCTATTTACTTTGGGTTTATTTTGATAATCTTCTAGAAACTTGAAATGAAAGCTTATATTGTTGACTTGAGAATTTCCCTCTTATAGTTTTGTCCTATAAATTTTGATACATTTTAATTTTCATTCATTAAAAAAATACCCTTTGAGGTTTGCTCTTTGACCAAGGATTACTTTAGAAGCATGTGTTTAGCCCTCATACCACAATAAATGCACAAACCATGGCACAAAACAGAAGACTGCTGAATAGTGGGGCTCCCAGATTGTTGGGGTGGGGCAGCAATGTGTAGTTATTCCCAAGGCCAGTGGTTCTCCTCACAATAGGAGTAAGACACAGCAAGAAGTGACTGCCCGTGGCTCCTCCCTGCCTAGAAAGCAGGGAAGACTCCAGAACCTCCCAGGAAGAGGACGCCCCACATCTCTCCTTTCTCCACCTCTCCCTCCATACAAACCAATTTTTTTAAAAAAAGAAAATCAGGAGACTGGCAAGAACCTAAAAAGTTTTCTGGAAAAAGTGTATTTCCATGTGAAAAATGGGCTATTTCTTTACATGCATTAACTCTGTAGGGAAATAAATAAATGTTATAAACTAAATTTATCCCCTAACCTCCCCCCCCCCAATAAAAAGTGTTTTGTTTTGTTTCCAAGTGTGGGAAGATTTTCCTATTATTGATTTATATATTTCATGATTCCATTGTGGTAGGAGTATATAGTCTATATACAATTTCAATTGTTTTAAATTCTTTTGTTGAGGGTTAAGTTCTGGGCTATTCAGCAAGCTTCCGCTTTGCACCACTGTTACTGTATTGAGACTGTTGTTGGGTGGCATGTACTATAAATGTTGGTTGGATACTGCTGGTTAATATTGTTGAATTTTTCTGTATTATTGCTGATGTCCTTCCTATGGTTACTTATTAATTATTGAGGGAGAGGCAATGAAACCTCCAACTCTAATTATAGGATTTGTCTCTTTCTCCTTTCTGTTCTATCAGTTTTTATTCCACATATTTTAGAATCTATTGCTCAGTGCATACATATTTAGTAATTTCCTTTGTTTCCTTATAAGTATGATTTTATCATCTCAATAAAGTCTACTTTAGGGCCTCCCCGGTGCCCGCGGCCTCTGCCGTGCTGGTTCAATCCCCGGCTGCTCCCCAGCCACCGGAGGAGGGTCCCACATGGCGCACAGACCTCTCCTGCCTCCTGCTGCTCCCCTCAGCGGTGTACTTTGGTCCTTCTGCCTGCTCTGCTCCCGGCTCTGGCTCTGGTGAATTCTCTCACCCTCCCGCGCTTCTGACTGTACCCAGTGCTTGTATAAACAAAACAAACAAACGAATAAATATAAATAAAACATGCCTCTATTAAAAAAAAAAGTCTACTTTATCTGATGATAAAACCATTTCTGCTTTCCTTTTATTAGTTTGCATTTCATGATTTTTCTATCCTTTTACTTTCAGTCTGTCTATATCATCATATTTAACATGAGTTTCTATAGAATACAATTATACAGTTAGCATACAATTTACAGTTGTGTCATTTAAAATGTTTACTGTCAAGTTTTGTCTTTTACTTGATATTTAAACTATTTATATGGTTTAACATAACATTGATATGTTAGGGTTTGTTAAGTCTGCTACTTTATTTTTTGTTTACTGTTTGTTGCCTATGATTTTCATTTCTCTGTTTTCTTTCTCCCACTTTCCTTTGGATCACTTGAATATTTTAGGATTCCATTTTGATGTTCTTTGAGTGAAGTATGTGTTCTGTGTGCATCTTTTCTATAACCATTTTAGTAGTTTCTCTTGGTATTATATATACATAGCTTGCTGCAATCTACTGCTGTCGTCATTTTACTAGTTGAATGAAATATAGAAACCTTACTTCCTTTACATCCCTCTACCTTCCATGCTTAGAGTTGTCTTATCTCCTTTACATTTATTGAAAATCGCATCACTTGCTTCAACTAGCAAACATAATTCAAAAAAACTTAAAAAGAAAAGGAATGCTATTGTATTTACCCATATTTTTTGCTTAATATGTTTTTTTCTGGTGTTCCAAGTTTCATTCTTTTATCATTTCTTTTCTTTTTAGAGACTTCCTTCAGTTATTCTTTTTGTTGTTGTTGTTTATTTGATGTTTTTATTTTATTTATTTATTTTTACATCATTCTTCTTTTTATTTTTTAATTAATTTTTTATTCTTTACATCATTGTTCATTTTTAAACAATATTTGCTCCCCCCCACCCCCTCAGGTGTAGTCCCCATAGAGTTTCCTTCACCAATGCACCTGTGCACCATCACCTCAGTCCCCTGTGCTCCTCCCCCCTCCCTCTGATTCCTCTCTTCCTCCTCCCCTGTGGGATGTCTCTGATTTATAATTGTCCGTTTTTGCATTGTTGTGTTTTGTACTGTTATTATTTTTTTACACTGATGTCTTATTTGGTTCCCCTGTATTCCTGTTAAAAGTGAAACCATCTGATATTTTCCCTTTTCCTTCTGACTTATTTCACTGAGCAAAATTCCTTCTAGCTCCATCCACATTGCTGTGAATGGCAGGAGTTTATCTTTTTTGATTGCTGAGTAACATTCCATGGTGTATATGTACCACATCTTCTTGATCCAGTCATCTATTTCTGGGCATTTGGGTTGTTTCCAGGTTTACCTACTGTAAATAGTGCTGCAATAAATATAGGGTTGCAGTGTTCTCTTGAATCAATGTTTTTCTTTCAGAGATGTTCTGCTGGTGACAAATTCTTAGCTTTCCTTCATTCTGAGAATGTCTTGATTTCCCCTTTATTCCTAAAGGGTATTTTCACTGGACATTAGATAGTGGGTTGACAGTTCTTTTCTTTCAGTACTTGAAAATACTGTAACACTTACTTTTGGACTCCAAGTTTTTGGTGAGAAATCTGCTGTCGTTCCCTATGGGTAAGATGTTTTTCTCTGATTGTTTTCAAGACTTGTTTGTCTTTACTTTTCAGAAGTCCATTTATGATATAACTTAATATTAACTTCTTCTGTAGATTTGTATCTGTCCAAATTTGGAAAATTTCAACCATGATTTCTTTGAGTACTCTTTCAGTCCTTCCCTTTTCTCCTCTCCTTTTGAGACTCCATGTAACAAATACAATATCTTTTTTTTATAACCCCAAAGTCACTGAGGCTAATGTCATTTTCTTTCCGTTTTTCATTATCCACCTTACAATTCTTTCTCTCTCTTTGTTCTGTCATTGTGCACTTCTGCTGTGATTTTTTGGTTTCTATTGTTGTATCTTTTAGTTATAACATTTCCATTTGGTCCAAACTTACACTTTCTATCTTTTGCTAAGTCTTTGTATTTTTCATCTATTTCAGTCATTACTTTTTGAAACATTTTTGGCAGGTATTTTAAAATCTTTGTTAGTTAATTCTAGCACCTCTGTCATTTCAGTGTTGGCATCTGTTGATATCTTTTTATTTATGGGAGATTTTCCTGGTTCTTGGTATGATGAGTTGATTTCTATTGAAATTTAGACAGTGTTGTGTCATGTTAGGAGACTCTTGGTCTTAATTAAACCATCTATTGTAGCTGGCCTCCTCTTAAACTTATGTGGCAGGAGAAGGGGTGCCATCTTATTACTGCGAGGCAGAAGTAGATGTCCTTATTCCCACTCAGTCTTCTTTGACACCCCAATGGAAGCTCCTTTTCACTGATGGTTGGAGAATGGAAATCTATTTCTCCAAGTTGTCTCCATTAACACCACGAAGGGTGAGGAGGCTAGTCACCAGCTGATGATGAGAAAGTCCAGGTTCCCTTCTTCACCATTCTTGACACCACCCTGGTGCAGTATTAGAGCCTATGAACGTGGGTGTCTAGGCTTTCTTTTCACTCTTTTCTGGCCAAAGCTTTTTTTTTTCTGTGATGTTTGGCTGGAGTAGAGCAGTTATTGTCTAAACATTTTCTTCATGCTAAGCTTTCTCCCCTACCCCCACACCTAATACTTTAGCTAAGAGGCACAGGCTTTTGTTGGGGATATTTTCATCTGTAGTATGTATTTCATCTGTTTATGTATTCCTGGATTGCTAACTCTTTGTTCTTTGTCTGAGATAATGAGGCAAAGGAAAACCCAGACTGTGTCATTTCTTCAGCCTCAATATCCCTACTGGTCTGTCTTTTCTTTCCAGTTTCCAGAGTCTTCTTATGTTTGTTTCATACATAATGTCCAGGGGTTTTTAGCTGTGCTTATTAGGAGGAATAGGGAAAAACATGTCTCTTCCACCTTCCAGAAGTAGAAATACATCAATTTTTAAAAATGCTCTTAGGTGAGTCTAATGTACCATGAGGGCTGAGAACCATTAGACCACTGAGTAGGCAATGACTCGGCCAGATCACACCGGCTTTGGGCTGTCTTTGAGAGCACCTTTCATAAAGGTGACTATTGTCCCCATAAAAGGACATGATACTGTCCCTTTGACTCCATGTAAAGCAGAATTACCCAGCAAGGATAGCCTGTATCGAGTGCTTTGGACCGGCTAAAAATGGTCTGGAGGAGAGTACTCTGAGAACAGTTAATATGGCTGTTACTTTCCATGGGGAAGAGATTACTATTAGGGTTAGGTACATGGAGAGGCTTCTCAAGTGTCTGGCAGAGTCTGGCATTTTGTGCGTGTGTTTATGCATCTATTTTATTTTATAATTGTTTTCAAAAATAATATTTAATGGTGTTGAGCTTCAGTATAGATTGCCACTTGTGACATCCAGCTGTGGCCCTTTTTCTCCACAGGTCTCAGTCCCACAGAGCTGCCATTTGATTGCCTGGAGAAGACCAGCCGGATGCTCAGCTCCACATACAACTCTGAGAAGGCCATAGTGAAAACATGGCGCCACCTCGCTGAGAGCTTTGGATTGAAGAGGGATGAGATCGGGGGCATGACAGACGGCATGCAACTCTTTGACCGCATCAGCACAGCTGGCTATAGCATTCCAGAACTGCTCACCAGACTGGTGCAGATAGAGCGGCTGGATGCCGTGGAGTCCTTGTGCGCAGACATACTGGAGTGGGCTGGGGCTGTGCCACCGGCCTCCCAACCAGCCACAGCATCTTGAGGCATGTACTGGTGAACTGGTCTCCTTGGGATGTACCAAGGACCAACTGACAGCGGCCTGGAGCTGCAAGTCATGCCAATAGACTGCAGAGAGCCTGCTGAGAACAAAGGCCTTTCCAGCTCTGTCACCAGGGTGCCTTAGCTGTTCCAGGGACTAAGAGGAAATAAGGCCTGTTTTCTGATCTAGCCAAAGATTACAGATTAAAGCTGGGATACTCTCAGTTACCCACTTTACCTCACTAGGCAGAATGAATATTTATTCAGAGCCAGTCAGCTACAAACTCATTGAAGGAACTTGTGGTTTCTCACATGAACCAGGATGTGGGAAAGAAGGAAATGAAGAACCTTGCCCTTATTTTAAAGGAGTTTGCAAGGCAGTGAGGGGCAGAAGACATGTCCTTATTGTCATGTCTCAAGCACTATGAGGGAAGGCTAAGAAAATGTAAGAAACATTCTAAGAGAGGAAGGTGTCTTCCCACTGTGGCGATGAAGGAGAGCATCCTCGTGAAGAGAGCAGTTCAGTGAATGCTGACCCCTCACTCCACATAGTTTCAGATTCAGAACAAGTCTGTTAATAGTAGTCAGTGACTTCCTTAGGGTAACTGTGCTTATTCTTGTGGTTACTGTATCCCTACAGCCTTCCAGCTGCTGATGGACGTACTCATTCCGTGGCTTGCTCTGTCACAGATACACAAGGTATATGTGTGTCCTGTTAGGGAGGCTGTCTGGTAGGCAACCTCTTTTAAGACTTAGATTTGGGAACCCAGTGGTTTTATGTTACACGTGAATTGCCTTCCAATCTCATCTTTAGTCAGATTTGACCCTTTTAGGGGAGTGATGCTCAAGGACACAAGCAACTTTCATTATGTGTCAAGGTGTTTTCATTTCAAATAGAATTGAGTGGTCAGCTCTACTTAGAAAGGGAAATGATGACTAGATTTTTAGAATGTCTGAGACGAAGGCATGAGCCTCAGGGTGTGGGAATATTACCGCATCTTCTGAGCCAGTTGGTGCACGTTGACCCTGCAGAGCTGAGAGAACTGAGCTTGGGATTCTGAGACCCTGTTCTCACTGTGCCTACTTGGGCTGTTTTCTTCTCTCTCCCTAAGCCTCAGTTTCTCTTCTGTAAATGAGAGATTAGAGATTATCCTCTAATCAGGAAAAGTAAAATTTAGGTGAGAAAGAGTGGCACTATGGGAAAGGCCAGGCCTTCTAGATTCTCCATAGAACTGAAAACAATGTGAGTCATCAAGTAAACTGGGAATAGAAACATAAAAACTCAGATTTGAGGGGTTTCACTGTAATTGCAATGATTCGGCATACATTTAGAGATAAAGTTAATGAATTGTCATTGTTCTTGGCTAATTCTATTACCACACTGGCAGTTGCCAGAGCTGGGAAGCCAGGGCAGGGCTCACGGTGGGAGGCTAATTGAGAGTTCACGCTGTGCTCCCTAATGACAGGTCTGCTTGTGATTGTGACTCAATTAAAACCAGCCTCTGACTTACAAAGCAATGCTTTTAAAATTGCAAGTTGCATGACTGAGTGAATGCTTTGGGGGAGGAAATCAGTCATATGTTTAAAGCCAACAAGCAATTTCCCACCAATGAATGTAGAACATACTGTGATAGGATCATAATTAGGTCCTGAATATTTAATATCATCATTTATTGTGTCTGTTTGCTGCTGTTTTTCAGAACTTACTTGCTACATTCTGCAAGCTAAATCCTCCAAGAAAAGCCTTAATTATCCTTTTAATTTCTTTTTAAGATGCTACGGGGCCACTTTTCTCTGCATTGCAATAATGATGATGAGAGTCTCCCCTTAATTAGGCTGCAGATGTCACATGTGACGGGCATGGGTTCCAGGACAGTGGCTTGCAGCTTCCTTAGAGCATTTTCAGTGAAGGAGCAGAGGGGACTCTTCTGGGGGTTCTGCTTCATTTCACACTGTTGGGAAACTGGAGTCTATCCAGCCAAGTTCACACTAGGTTTCAGCAACTCTCTGCCTGCTGTGTTTAGAGAGCTAGCCCTTCCTGAGTTACACATCCCTTTGTCTTTCACTTATTTGGGTTTTGTAATTTAATTTTTTGTCATTTACTTATTTGGAAACCCCAGGAAGCGATACTCTGATGAGCTTTAGGCAACATTATGGAATTCAATCAATGAGACCTAAAGATTATCACTGACCCAAGCTAGAATCACCCTCCCTCTCTGTCATTTTGCTATATTTAAACACATTTAAAAAACACCCAGGCTACAGCTGTGATTCCCCCTCACCCCCCACCCTATGAAATCTTAATTGTCAATACTTTTGTCTAATTCTGTATATATAACTTATTATATTTTACAATTTCAATAAACAAATGAAAAGGACATTTACAAACTGCTGCAATGTAAGCTCGTGTGTGTGTGTGTGTGTGTGTGTGTGTGTGTGTATACAGGGGTGGGGTAGGGTAGAGTGAGAAGGTAGGTGAGTAAGGAGGGTTGATTTCTCTGTCTTAGTTATTACACTATGTGCAATGAGGTATGGATTAGGACCAACCAGATAAGAATTGCCTAAAATGCTATCCACTCAGCAGAAGCAAACATTACAATGATATGCAAAAACCACCCCAAGCTTTGCATTCCAAGTCTCCATCATTAGTCTTTAAGGCATTGTATCACTTAGATACTGCTACGTAACAAGCAGTCCCCAAATTCAGTGACTGACAGCATTTTATAGGTTTATAGCTCAGATGGGTCCTGGCCTAGGTTGGGTTCAGTTGTGTGAGCTCAGCTGAGGCCTTTCTCTGTCAGGATACTTTAACTAGGGTGGCTCTGCCTCATTGTCTGTCTAGGTATTGCGTAAGCATCCCAGGCCAGGCAGGTTCACTGTTGATTCTGGCAAATGGAAAAAGAACCTTGGAGTCTCAAGTCCTTCTGACCTGCCTTTAATGCTGAAGGAGGGGACTAGATCCACAGGCAGACCAACGGGCAGGCAGGCAGAGAGCAACCAATTCTCCTAGTCCCCATGATCTCCAGCTTCTCTGCCCAGGTATCCATATTTATAGGTGCGTGTGCCCCATGCTCACGCTCCTATAAAACAGAATCACATGTAGGTAATGAAACCTGGGAGGAAAACAAAGCTGCAGGTAGTGGCCGCAGAGGCTGGCAGGGGGAGGTGAAACGAGCCCGAGTTACTCCGTGTTCCTGACACTCCACCTCCTCAAGGTTTTTGCTGTATAACCTATGCAGCATTCTTCCACGAGGTTCCCTTGGCGAGGAACGTGTACCCATAACCCACAAAAGCAATACAAAGTTGCAACTAGGAGGCAGACTCATAATAGGCCACAAAATCAACACAAATGTTCCCTTTGGCGTTGCCCTCTGATCCGCCACCCCAGAGTGGGTAACACGCACCCATGGAGGCCATTGCCCAGTTATCCAAGGTGTTATTTGTAGATGGGCCTCCAGGCTGCATCCCCAAGGGGCTATCAGGGCCACCCTATGCACGTGGGGAGCTTTACTTTCTAAGGTCATAACCAGTCCATAGTGTGTCCTGGGTCCAACCTAGTAGGAGCTGGCAATAAAATGTTGCCCTGCCACCCAAACCCAGGCTGATGCCTGAAGTATGTATTTGCAGTTGGATGGGAGCAGCGGCGCGATGCAGCAACGCCTCTACAGAAGCCAGGCTGCCTTTCCTGGCCCTCTCCTTTAGTGTCCAAGGGAGGTCCCACATGAGTCTGCTCCACCCAGCTGGCGTGGGAGTGGGGGAGTAGCTCTGTCCTTGCTTCAGCAGGCCATTGTGGCTCTCTGTGATCCCTATAGTCTTGGGCCTGTGAGGTGCATGGAATTTCCACTCGACACCCATGTCTTTTGCCCACTGCTGCACTGGACTCAGGACCTCTTGCAACTCCACCTATAAGGGGCTAATTGACAGAGAGCTGTGCTATTGCAGGTATGCCCCCTACTTTGTCAAAGTGAGCTTCTGTAGGGCTTTGTTGCCCAATCCTGTACCCACTCAGCCATCGGATAGATAGTCCACACCAGGACAGGAACTATAAAGCTGCACACACCATAGCTGCTTTCAAACTGAGGAATACCTAGTCTCAGCCCTTTCCAGAGTTGGAATCCAATGGGCTGTTGTTGTCACTCTGATTTCTACCCGAGTCCCCACCTGAACCCTTCCTGAGCCACGTGCACATCTAGCTCACAGGGTCAGGCTGGGCCAAAAACCTGCAAAGCCTTTATAGTCCATTTGGTTACAGCAAATGCTGCATCTGCTTCAGCAGACCAATCCCATCTGTGCTCTCTACGTATCAGCCTACACAGGGGCCATAGGAGCTGGGCCATGTGAGGTATAAATGCCCTCCAGCAACCCAGGAGGCCCAGAAAAGTTTGCAACTGCTTCATTGTGGTTGGGGTGGGGTAAGATTGTACCTTGTCTGTAACAGCATCAGGGGTAACTTTCATTTTACCAGGCCAAACAACCCCCAAGAACTTGACAGATAATCCAGGCCACTGCTTTTTGCTTTCAGTGATTGCCCAACCACATGTTTTCAGGTGTGTCAATAGGAGAGGTACAGCCTTTTCCAAAACTGCAAGAGAGTCACTGGTCAACGACATCATCAGTGTAATGGTACAAGCACACTGAAGATGCCTCTCTCACTGGGCCAAATCAGCTGTCACCAGCCCATGGCACAGAGTAGGGCTTCGCAGATGTCCCTGCAGAAGCACAGTGAATGTCCACTGCCACCCTCCCACATGAAGGCAAACTGGTCTTGACCCTCTGGTGCTACAGCAATGGAAAAGGCAGCATTAGCCAGACCAGCTACAATGTGATATGTGCCCAGCTCGTGGCTCAGTCCATCCATCAGGTCTGCCAGTGAAGGCTCTGCTGCATGCAAGCGGGGAGCCACTTTATTCAACTCACAGTAATCTACCACCATATGCCAGGAGCCATCAGGCTTCTTCACTGGCCATGTGGGTGACTTGTAAGGGCTGTGGGCAGCACGCACAATACCCATTTTCTCCAGCTCTGCTATTGTGCCCATAATCTCTTCGTGGCCATCTGGCAACCGATACTGTTTAGTATTGGTCTTTTGCCTGGGGTCTGGCAGCTGTAAAGGTGGATGCTCAGCATGTCCCTGCACCACGCCTTCACTACACGCCCCCTAAGGTGAAATTCTCTGGCTGTGGTCTGCAGCCACGAGCCATGTAGTAGTTCACCCCCAGGATGTACTCCAGGAATAGCAACACACACACTTTATACTGCTTTGGGGGTAATCGCCCAGTCCCCAGGGGTACTCACTGCTATCACTTTGACCAAAAACCACAACCCTTTGTGCACTGGTTGGGCATCAGTGGATGGCAAGTTCCACATGTGGCCTCTGGTCCCCACTCATCCCCTGAGGATAGTTCCTTGGCCCTCACCCTATTTAAAAGTGAACAGGACATCCCGTAGGACCAGGTGGACAATAAATGGTCCTCCAGGCAGGGGGCACATGCCTGGAGCCTGGAGTCCCCAGCTTTCCCCTTCACAGCAGCCCCTCCTCTCACGGAAGTGAGCCTTTGGTCTCTAACAAATGTCTCCACACTCCAGCAAATGTGCTCTGGGCTGTGCAATCTGTTTTGGCATGATCTACCGCTGCTCCCAGTAGACCCACCCACATTTGAGCATGGGTGACTTTAAGGGGGTTGCTTGTCTTTTTTTGGCTTCCCTTTCAGTTGCCTAAGTACCCGTATTCCGAGAAGGCAATACCCTTCTTCACGTACCCAAGTTAGTACGTCATTTATTCGGTGTCCCACATAGGGTGCTACAATTGCCATAAGGGACCCAAATGAGGACGAAGGGGGATTTTGCAGTACCACATCCCTCAACCCTGCAGTGAAGTGCACATCATCAGGGCCATGAGTGTGCACAGTAAACCTGGCCTGCCTCATCCCCAGTTCACGAAGTACCTGCGCAAACTCGCGTATATTTGCCCTTTACTCACATTCTCTGGCATATCTGCATCAGCCCATACTTTTTGCCCAGCAACCATTACTCAGCTGGCCTTATTACCAGCTGTTCAGCAGCCACTGTCACAATGACAGATATGGGGTCACTGAGCCCAGTTTCTCTAATTGCTGTGCTGTGCAAATAATTCCGTCCACCTCCCAGGTCCCACAAATGCAGCAGCCAGGCTGCCCAGGGCTCTCCTGGTTTCTGATTGAACTGTTTACCCAAGTCCACCAGTTCCGCTTGGGTGATAGGGCAATATGGTGAACTCATCATCTGCAGTGGCCCAACAGCCTGACCCCCTAGGGCCATGGGCCATTGCTGCTTCATCTTCTGTGTCACCACAGAGTGAGCCTGAGGCCAGGGGTCAGCCTCTCCCTTCTCTCCAGAGGGGGGACCTGGCACCTCCAGAGGGGCAGGTAGGTCTTCCTGGATCTCTTCCCACTCTCCCAGAGTCCTAAAGAGACCTCGCAGTGCCTGTATCTCATCCTGGAGCTCCAGGCCTTGGCTTCCTCTCTCAGCATAGACTCTCACAGAGCTGTGAGAAACACACATTCCACAGCCCCTGCCGCATCACGGGCACTCTGCCTGCCCAAGGTCTCCCCTACTGTGCACAGGGCCTGCTCCACCTGAAACAGGGGTCCCTCTATGTCTGGCCATTCATGGAGAGGTGCCACAGAGAGAGGAGGCAGGCCACTGAGTACCACCTTCTCATGGCTGGCCACTCGTCAATCCCTCCCAAGGTCTCAGAGGGCTCGTGCCCGTGTGTATCAAATCACCCTGCTGTCTACACCACTTGTTGTGCAACCGTCCCAGACCAGGCAGGTTCACTATTGATCCAGGCAAATTGAAAAAGAACCTTGGAGTCTCAAGTCCTTCTGACGTGCCTTTAATGCTGAAGGAGGGGACTAGATCTACAGGCAGACCAGCGGGCAGGCAGGCAGAGAGCAACCAAATTTCCTAGTCCCCATGATCTCCAGCTTCTCTGCCCAGGTATACATATTTATAGGTGCGTGTGCCCCATGCTCACACTCCTAAATACTTTCTTACAATAACATTGTATCGGATGGTCACAGAGGGCGGATCAACATGGCGGCGAGGAAATGCTGCAAGTAAGATCTCCCATTAAAAAAAAGTTAATAGGGAGGAAAAGTGGCAGGTCCCAGTGAGAACTGGGACATGGAAGATAAACGGACGACTCCAGAAAACTACCCAAAGAAGAAAGTTGCCATAAAAGAGTACTAGAAGGGAGGAAAGCTCAGAACCCTGCTACCCTCCCCCACCCACAAAGTCGGCACTCTCCGACCAACAGAA